TAACACTCAAAGTCCAAAATCGATTTATTATTGGGCAAAAGATAAAACTCGCTATGCATTAATGAATTAGATTTCCTTGTTATGGGTCCTCAGATCGTCGGCGTAAGCTGACGATGTAAATTAAATAAGATAAAAGTTAGTATGTACAAGTGATGCGACAATGGAATAAGTAACACGAAAAGGTCCAAGTAATTATAAGATCGGCACCAAATGGCTCAATTATAAGGCTAATTTTCTTCCCAGCTCAAATCAAATCAGTTGGTTTAGATCAATTAATTTTGATCATGCGATATAATATTCATTATTCATATGCCTTGGAGATATGTGCTGAAATCAATGAAAGCGGTAATAATTATAAAGGTAAATAAAATCGTTGGATATATCGAAGTCATACTGTTATGGCTCAAAGTTTACTCGATTTTCACTGTTAAAAGTTAACTCGCGCAGTCTTAAGGGACAACATATAAAGGTGCAAACGATTTGATAATGTAACTTTGGGCTTACCGTTTATTCAACGCAATTGATCCCATTTACCAAATAGAATGGACTCATTATACTGCCTATTATTACTTTACGGATAAATTCTAGCGGTAACCAATGGACTTTTCGGTATTATGTGTGGTGAGATATAGTAGCGTTTTTGGTAAGGAGATTAGAGTAACAACTAGAAGCAAAGTCAAATCCTAGCCTTTATTCAGCGTAAGCATTTGACCGTCATGCTCAAGAACACGAAACCAACCAAGTTCATTTGCTGTTCTATTCAAACTTCACATATAAGTTCGTTAAATAAATCACTCCATTTAGAAATAGCAAACACAGACAAAGAGGAGCCTTAGATAATCTATTCAGATGAATAAATATGAAGGTAATTATAAGCAAGTATTTTTTAGATAATTTTCCTTTTTAGTGAAAGTGAGATAAAGATTTGAAATGTCGATCACATCGGAAGACGAAGACAGATTACTGTTTGCTAGCTGTCGGTTAGTTTAACTAATTATCATGATTGGCACCATTCCTGAGGCATTCTCCTTTAATTCCAATAAAACGAAATTGGCTATTGCATGTGATATGAGGGATATCATCAAAACATAGTATTTTTGTCGTAACCATGTTCAAATATACCCTATAGGAATCAGGGCTAAATAAAATTCATTTGCATCGTGAGGCCTACTCAACGCATTGTGGGAAAATTCACAACCAATCCTTTACACCTGAAGCAGCCAAGGCGTAACTGAATCTTTTAGCCAAGATCCCATTCAATACAAATATTGCTCACTTTTTCCGGTTTATCCCCACGATTCCAGGCTACTCTGAAGGCGGTTTTGAGTTCGTCAGCCAGACGGATTCGTGCACCAGTGTTAGAAGAGAGATAGATCCAAGGGATGCCTAGCCTGCGAGCCAACTGGCTGGCCCGAACAAACGTCAAATCTTCCGCAGGTCCAAAAGAGCCAGCCTTTAAAGTGACATCGTTTGAAATTAAGATAACGGGTCTGCCGTGAACTGGTGCTTCTGGAGTCAGTAACAGCATATACCAAACGACCATGCCGATCTAATCCAGTGAAAAATAATAATGAAAGGAAGGATTAGAAAATTTGCAAGACATTTTATTACATTCCTAAACAATAGTTCCCAAGCTATCTCCTTTTATACCTCTTGCTCATCTATGATAACCCTTCATACTTACCAACATCTCTTACTAAAATTAAACATCCTTTAACAGGAAAAACAAAATTCAACAAAAAGCGGAAAAAATTAAAATAATTTGGCCATAAATATAGTTGAAACTAAGGTAGCTAAATAGCGCTTATATTTTTACGCTTATGAAAATTATTTCTCTAGGAAAATTAGTCTGATGCTCCCTTAGGAAAGTCTCTACTCGACCGTTTGTGAGCCATACAAACAATTAACTAAACTAATCTGGATTAATAACTATGCTACTTAAGTAGGAAGATAAAACAATATGTATTAAGCAAACGCTTGTTTACAAACGGATAAAAAGTTACTTAATTTTTAGAGAAAATAAAACCGGTATTCTTATAACCCTTGCTAATCCAGGAAACCATCAAATTTGATTCACCTTTGAGGCTGAAGTCAGTAGGTTGATATAAATAAACTGAGCCTTTAAGTCACCAAATACGAGGTTAGTTTAACTGGAGATCTACTTT